CAGAGACGCATGACGTCAGCAAAGGCAGACGTGACCTCTTCGCAGGCCCGGCGGCGACAAACATCGCACTCCAGAATGGCGCTGCCCGTCCGCACGAATGGAAATCAGGCTGAGGCCGCCGGAAAGAATCCAGCAGTGAAGCTGTTCTTTTCCAAATTAATTGTGAAACGTGGCTGTCAAAGCGCTTTTGCAAAAAGTCATTTTTCATCAGCAAAGTTGAGTTTCTCATGCGAATAACTTTGCATAAGTCATAGGAAAAAATATCATAATGCCTTATTCTTCTGGTCGCATGTCGCAAAGCCAGATCCGGCAACTGATGCAGAAATTTGAATCTGTATCGGTACAATCCTAGCAACAATAATTATATATTTTAAAAGAGTCTTCCATATTATACACAACACTCACCACAATTGTTGTCAGTATCTCTCGTTTCGGGGTATTGTAACAGAGAACAGAGTCCTATTCTTGGCTGCGAGCGGGCGTGCACGGCACGGGTCAATACAGACTCATGTGTAAATGTATGCAATATCTGCTACTCTTTCATGTTGGGGAAGCGGTTGCTAGGTATGGGAGTACGGTGGTGACCTGCGCAGAGGTCACAGTGGGTCACAAAAGATGAACTGATTCGCACTTAGCCTGGCGTTTTATCTTAATCCAGGAAACCAAATATTGCTTCTTTTTAACGACAGCGACACGTATTCAGAAAAGGTGTTGTTTGATAAAGGCGATTAAAGGCGCTGACACTGACACGTGCCAACTAAAATCGCGTCTGCCAGATCCCGTTCCCTTGACGCACTCGCCTCTACATAATCGACCTTCAAAGTCAGTAATTACAAACTTTAGTTCAAGAACGCATTCCTAACAATCCCAAGCTCCAAAGATGAGTCACTTCAAAGATGAGTCACTTCAAAGATGAGTGACCGGTAACTGATGAAGAGCACACCCCCAACTACATTGGTACACTCGGGGGCAGATTGATGTTCCACCACTCCCTACCCATCGGGCTCCCATGGCTGAGCACTGGCTGCTGCCAGTGTTGCCTGCCCTCACACTGTAAACTCATTTCAACAAACGTTTGTTACTTTTACAAGGAAAATTATTTAGCGCAAATCCCCGCACCCTTTGCCATGTCATCGAACGACCCTATTGTTTGTCATGGTAGTTTTTCTTACAACCCACTCACATGTAGTTCGTTAGACTAGCTACCAAAGTTTGCTTTGTCATTGTTGTGTGAACGACTGTTTTCCTAGTTATAATCATGCGGCTACCAGGTAAAGACCTGCGCATGTTTGCATTTAACAGGGCTGAGCCGTGTACTTGTTAAGTCAAATCAATGCAAATCTTAGTTAGCATAGTAATGTCTACGTGCAGCAAACCTGTACTTGTAAGCAATCTACTAGTCTCAGGTTTGTAACGTTTTACAAAGACCTCCCTTGTATTCTTCAGTTTTCTCCACAAATCGCAGGTCGCCGCTCTGCAGTCTCATTATTACAGCAAAACCGCATTACTGAAAGTAGGTCATGTATTTAAAATGGTACATACACATTACACACACAATGGTGATAACACTCATGACCCAAGGGGCAAGGGCAATAACGCATGCGAAAAAGCAATGAGCGTCATCACTTACCGAGTACACTGTACCCATTCAAATCTAAGGGGCATTCAAATTCAATAGCCCCTTGGAATTCAGGTGCTTTTTCATTTTTAGAATTCTTGAGTTTCTGCAGTTTGCTGTCTTCAGTGTAGCGACCCTTGCTTGCCAGCTGGAGCTTTCGCTCCTGATGAAAGCCCGAAAGAAAGCATCGCTATATTATAGCATATGCAGAACAGTATGGCCTGGAGCAGAACACAATGTGCTTGCTTCCATACATCACGCACTTATTTAGCAAATTTCTCTGATTCAATCTGCATTACTATCAGTTGAAAGACATACATTTCATTAAAAAATGACAAAAACGACCGAACACTGTTATCACCTACCATTTTCACGGAAGTGCGCAGGAGGCCACATCACTGCACGGCGGTTGGCGCGCAACTGAAACTTTCAAAATGAAACGGCCGGAAACGTTTTTGGCGCCACCTATATAACAAGTAACAGCTTTGTATATGTTACTACTAACACGTCTAACTAGCGTAACTAAGTCCGTGTTGCAAAGGTGTAGCTGATACCTTTGACAAGGACATAGATTACATAAGTATGTATCAGTATTGTTGCAATGGTGTAGCTGGTTCTTTCGACAAGGATATAAATTACAAATCATAAGCAAATCTATGTTCCATATTACGAATAAGACCCTGGTAGTTTTCACAATAGCCTCCATAATCCTCGTCAATTTTATGAATGGTCGACTGGGTGCTGGGGCTGATACTAATAATTGCCCTGTTGATTCAACCAACTATGACAAGATATTCGTCGTTCGACATAACCTTTATTAGTATTTTTGACAAACGCTCGTCGTTGTACGACAACCCCTTGTCAAAATGAGTTTACAGTGCAGTACTGCTCACACTGTAAACTCATTTCAACAAACGTTTGTTACTTTTACAAGGAAAATTATTTAGCGCAAATCCCCGCACCCTTTGACATGTCATCGAACGACCCTATTGTTTGTCATGGTAGCTGTTCTTACAACCCACTCACATGTAGTTCGTTAGTCTAGCTACCAAAGTTTGCTTTGTCATTGTTGTGTGAACGACTGTGTTCCTAGTTATAATCATGCCGCTACTAGGTAAAGACCTGCGCATGTTTGCATTTAACAGGGCTGAGCCCTGTACTTGTGAAGTCAAATCAATGCAAATCTTAGTTAGCATAGTAATATCTACGTGCAGCAAACCTGTACTTGTAAGCAATCTACTAGTCTCAGGCTTGTAACGTTTTACAAAGACCTCCCTTGTATCCGTCAGTTTTCTCCACAAATCGCAGGTCGCCGCTCTGCAGTCTCATTATTACAGCAAAACAACATTACTGAAAGTAGGTCATGTATTTAAAATGGTACATACACATTACACACACAATGGTGATGACACTGATGACCCAAGGGGCAAGGGCAATAACGCATGCGAAAAGGCCTCGCAATAACTGGTTTTGGGACTCGCAACATCGAGGAATGCCTTGATTTGGAAATATGTTATTTCTAAGTCTGCGGAACACAAATTTTACGAGGCAAACTCATTCGAATCTAAGGGGCATTCAAATTCATTAGCCCCTTGGAATTCAGGTGCTTTTTCATTTTTAGACTTCTTGAGTTTCTGCAGTTTGCTGTCTTCAGTGTAGCGACCCTCGTTTGCAAGCAGCTTTCGCTCCTGATGAAAGCCTGAAAGAAAGCATCGCTATATTATAGCATATGCAGAACAATATGGCCTGCAGCAGAACACATTGTGCTTACTTTCATACATCACGCACTTATTCAGCAAATTTCTCTGATTCAATCTGCATTACTATCAGTTGAAAGACATACATTTCATTAAAAAATGACAAAAACGACCGAACACTGTTATCACCTACCATTTTCACGGAAGTGCGCAGGAGGCCACATCACTGCACGGCGGTTGGTGCGCAACTGAAACTTTCAAAATCAAACGGCCGGAAACGTTTTTGGCGCCACCTATATAACAAGTAACAGCTTTGTGTATGTTACTACTAACACGTCTAACTAGCGTAACTAAGTCCGTGTTGCAAAGGTGTAGCTGATACCTTCGACAAGGAAATAGATTACATAAGTATGTATCAGTATTGTTGCAATGGTGTAGCTGGTTCTTTCGACAAGGATATAAATTACAAATCATAAGCAAATCTATGTTCCATATTACGAATAGGACCCTGGTAGTTTCCACAATAGCCTCCATAATCCTCGTCAATTTTATGAATGGTCGACTAGGTGCTGGGGCTGATACTTATATTTGCCCTGTTGATTCAACCAACTATGACAAGATATTCGTCGTTCGACATAACCTTTATTAGTATTTTTGACAAACATTCGTCGTTGTACGACAACCCCTTGTCAAAATGAGTTTACAGTGCAGCACTGCCTGCCAGTGCCAGTGCTGCCAGTGCTGCCACTGGCATGGCAGCCAGTGCTGAGCCATGGGAGCCCGATGGGTAGGGAGTGGTGGAACATTAATCTGCCCCCGAGTGTACAATGACTAGGTATCGCCGTCTGCGATTCTGATGAGCCTTCCAGCTGTTGCAGCCGACATGTGACCGTTTTCAACATATGAAACTAGCCAGCAATTCGGCGTGAAGCGGTCACAAGGCTGCTCTGTCACGGACACTCTGCTGTCTCTGCGGTCAGCTTTGTTCTGTGTCCTGTGTCCTGGTGACCACCCTATGTTGCCACAGATACTCGTAAGCACTTGTGTTCGCAGAAAGAAACAAAGGACATTGACAGTTGGCTCATTGGTAAGCATGAGGTGGGCTGTGCCACGCCGGCTTCCACTCGACACAGATTTTGTTGTCCTGCGCTGATAAGTAGAATAGTGTGATTGTTCTTTAGATTAAGATGGCGCATACTCGTAGATAACATGAACCATGTTATCTATGGATGGCGTAATGATCAGATTCAAACATTTGGGAGTGTCAGCTGTGCTGTGTTATGTTGTAAGTCCATAACCTACCTTGTTCTCTGATGACGCGGCTTATTGCTTTTATGATTCACTAGATGTACACTGTACAGGTTTACGCGATAACTGTATGTTTTGCTACACTCGTATGATTAACGGATGCATTAGTTTCGTTTTAGGAACTTGCATTTTTATTTGTATTATTTGGGTAGATTTTGGTAACTGTTTTTAATTGAGCTGTAAGGTTTGATGGTGATGTATGCGGGGTGTTCGAGCCTTTTGTATGTTCGTATCTCATTGAACTCAACTTTACCTCTCTCTCTACGGCGTTCCCAGGGTGTCACTTGATTAGCGGTATTGACACATTTTTGACGTCTTACCCGTCCCGATGGAGTTTGTCTGATCGTCTGTCACTTCTTCTGACGTGCCGTACGTACCAACATCGCTCGCTGAAACAAAAGAGAGCACCCGGTCAGACAAGGCTCACATTGCTCCTGTTGATGTGGTTAAATTTACGTGCTGTAGATTGGATGCTGTTTGGTTGATGATACAATCGCAAATAACTCATCGGGGAGAAGAAAACGTCTCAACTTGGGAGGGTTCAATCGTCTGTGCTGACACATTGTGTTTACAATAACTATACAACTTTCTGTTCTCCCTGTGTCTCAATTGTATCGAAATTTTGTTTTATCGATTTTGTTACATGAGTGCAATAGTACCTAAACTCGCCGTTTTTCCACCCTGTTAATGCCGCCGCGGGCCCTGTGTGTTGTTCGCTGGATGGCCATGGCCGGTATGTGGCTGGATGGCCATAGCTGAGAGCCGGGCCCACCCAGCACTTCGTCCGTTCGTCACAAAGGTACATGATGGAGCAGGTTTGAGGTGTGACTGCTGGCGAAAAAGACCCTCCACCTCCAGGGCTGAAATTGTGAGAAGATCCAGACATCTCTACCGTATCTAAATGCTGTTCCCGTAGAGGAATTCAGTAATATTTACCTCCACAGTCCTCTCATTACTAGCATCCAGGCTCCAGCTCCATTCATTTTAACCCGCGCACCGACGGGGGTCTGCGCCAACTTAGTACCGACGGGGGGGGGGGCGGATGACCGCCCCCCCCTGAGATCTCGAGAACGAAGCAAGATAGCGACAAGCGGTAAACGGCATCGGATACGCACGAACAAGGTCTACAATTTTTACTAGGGTCATTTTCAGGTCAGGTCAAAGATGACGTCACAGGGGTCAAAAAAGTCAAAATGGCGGCGCTAGATATGGAGAGGGTTTTTCTCGAATAACTTTCGAAGTAGTCAAGATAGGAACAAACTAAGGGCATCATCGTGATCCTCTCGTCAATCCGCATCGAATGATATATATGTTGACCTCGAAAGGTCAAGGTCAAAGGTTGACCTCAGGTCACGTGACCTCGAGGTCATCATGTATATCATTCGATGCGTCTTGACGAGCTGAACACAATGAGACCATCCGCGCGGCTGTATCTTGTTCCTGTAAGGAGTTATTGGCAAAAAACCTTTGGTGACCTTTGATGACGTCACATGACCTTACAGCTGCCCAACAGCAAAACAGACCTCAAGGTAGTGAAGGTTGATCGTATGTGAAGTCATGTATGGTATATGGGGCCATTCCGACCCGTTTTAGTGGTAAAAACAGGGGGTTGATTTTCCCCCCATTGACTTATAATGGGGAGATCGCGAAATTGACCTGACCTTAGGTCACCGACATCAAAATTCCGAGATATACAAATTGTAGCTACTAATGACCTAATAACATCCTGCGACTTTCAAAGGCCTCCGACATCTACTGTAGCTCTGGCACGGTGACAAAGTTGCAAAAAAGTGACTTGAGGTTGGGTCATTCAAAGTGACCTGGTGACCTGACCTTAAAAGTTAGGAGGTTCAAACTTGCACACCATGTGTAAAATTGATGAGAGAATAGTCATACCAAATTTCGCGGCGCTACGCGCCGCGGTTTTCCCGCTATCCGCGAAAAACCTCAGGGGGGGGGCGGATATCCGCCCCCCCCCGTCGGTGCGCGGGTTAAATTTGCGGTTGAAGACGAAGACGAGCATCTCTAAATAACAAACTCTCTCTCTTTCGCCGCCGGATAGCGAGTGCACCGCGTTGTTATTTCGTCCGGCTCGGTCGCTGCGCGGGGAGGATGTTTTATGTATTCGAACGGGCAAATGGGCGGCGCCGGGCGAGGCTGCATCAAGTCTGACTGAATTCGAGCGGGCCGTAATTGGCTTTGATCGGTCTTGGGGCGTGTGTGTGGTCGAGAATACGGCCTCCTGGCGCAGCCTCAACGGAAATCCCGCTGGAAATCGGCTCCGGCTCAATGGCGGGACCGGGCTCAGGACCGTCGTCCCACAGTCCGCCTGGCTCAGATGGATTGGTTTGCCAGATTCACGGCAGAGAAATGAACAACAAGACGTATATTGGTTCGCATAAACCGCAGCACACGGCAGAGAAATGAACAACAAGACGCATATCGGTTCGCATAAACCGCAGCAAGAGCGTATCAAAGCATCGTCTGCACAGGTACATTGTTCTGGCGAAAGATGCAGTGGATGTTTGGGAAAATGAATTTCTGAGCTGCCTTTGATTCTGACAAGTTTCTCATTTGCTTTTATTAAGCGGTTCTTTGATCTGGTTCATCCTATTGTGAATTTTAGGCTGTCTGAAAATGAACATTTTTTAGATTTAGCAAGCAAGGTCCAACAAAAGTTTGACGATGTTGTTTTTTTTTCTCTCTTGTCAAAACAAATATTTTTTCTTCAAATGTTCAGTAAAGGTAGAGCGAACACGCCTAACGACATTGTCGTTTTTGCATTGGTGTCTTTGTGGATTGGGTTCAAACCATAAGCAGTCTTTGAAAGTGCTAGCATCGGTTTCTGGCTGTTCGCGGCACCCTAAATCAAAGCGACGTCGTCAGTTTCAGCTTTAGACACCCTGGCCTGAATGACACCCCAACAACAGCAACATATGGCAGCACTGTTTAATGACACCTCAACAACAGCTCCATATGGCAGCACTACTCGGCGGGCGTGCAGCTGCATTAATTGTACCTTTCCAGAAATGGACCGAATTGTGCGAATGGTTTCAGCATAACGGGCTCTTGGCGTCAACAAGCAGTCGATTACGCTGAAGGACCACCGCTTGAGATTATAATTACAGACGCGCTGTGTTGACTTTGTGAGGAAAGTCCTCTAAACTCTTTGGAGCAGCCCCAGATTTGTAAATTTGTGCCCTGATGTTGACAATGAATGCATAATTAACGATGCTTTGAGGTATTTCATTTTATTTTATTTTTAAACTATTCACTCACATACATAGGTATCCCAGTCAGTGTTTTGCCTGTCAATATTTTAACATAAATTATCTAGAGTCGGGAAGTCCTGTTGCACCTGCTTGACTAAAAACCATATGTCTAAATGTGTTAGACGGTCTGAGACTGTCTCAGAGCACCGTTGTGTGCCACGAAACGTAAATATGTTCCAGCTCGTCGTGTTTCTGCGCTTGCTTTAGCTAACGTGTTTGTGCTTGCTTTATGAACTGCAATATGTATTCGGTCTTTTGTAAATTCATAGGCATGCTTCAAGCGGATCTGATTATGAATTTCTGGAACTTAATTTCGCATGACGCATTTGAATTATATGTATTGACAAACTACAGTTGGCTTTGAAAGGATTGAAAGCTACTGCGTTATGTCTGTATTGCTCAGTAGTATGTCGTGATTCGATACCTATCGCAAAAAAGTGGAAGCGCCAACGCGATTGCAAGTAGGAGCGTGAGTCATCAGGTGAGTGTTGTTGGGCAGCAAAACTGTACAGGTACCGCGTAAGATGTAAATGCATGAAAATAAAATTACCTGGTTCCAATCACGCTAATATCGAAAATTATATGTAATATTCGTACTATTCGTAATAGTCGCAATGCGTTTATGGACTGTCTGAGAACGAAATTAAGCAGAAGATCCTCTGCATATAACAATTCCAGCAGACCCACACACTCAGGCGCTGCCGCAGATCAGAACCCAAGATGCCTTCCAGTTTCTAACCCAGTTCGGAACCGGCGTTCCTAACTCGACAATCAATCTGGCCGACGCCGGCCATGCCGGGTGGGGCCTCGACTCAATACAGACCAGACCGTATCAGGAATCACTCGAGACTCGATCAGGGAACGGGCGCACTTCCGACTTGGGTCCCGGGCGGCACGGACCGCACCGATCCCGGAATCCCGGAATCGCCGATCGGCCCGGAGCTGACAGGGTTCGGTGCCTCTGGCCCGGAGACTACTTAGACGCCGCAGCGGCAGGCGAGCTCGGTCGATCGACGGAGACGTATGCAGATGACCCAGTTCGACGCCCATGTGTACTGCGACACGGCGTCCAACGGCGTAGAATGACCCGCATCGCCGCTTAGGGAGCTAATCTGTCTCATATCGATGAAAGTGCCGACTTGTTATGGATGAGTGGTGCTGTTGTGTTTTTATTAATTTATGCAAGTTTGAGTACGCACTTCAGGACTAGACGAGGCGTGATGTTGCGGAGCCATCCATCGGCTGTAACATTCGAGCAAGCATGAAGTTGCCTCACTAAAGTGTGATATTTTTCAGATGGTTATTTTTCATATGCATACCAGGTACGCACGTCAACGCTGCCTCCAGACAAGTGAGTTTTACTACCGTCTGCGTCACGGCTGGGTACATGATGAGGCTGCCCCAACATCAACTCCAAAACAAACACTCCGACTTGGCGGTCCAACATCGCGCTTTCTTTGGAGCCGTGCCACCTGTTGTGAAAGCCAGCGCACCTCCGGGAACATGCTCAGGTTGAGAGTGGCGGCTTGGCAGGTGCTAGTATCGGGAACGACCGAAAGCGGGACGAGTGGTGAACTACGGCGGGACGTGTGGCGAACTATACTGGACTAGCGACGAGCTACGGCACGCTGAGCGACGGTTAGCGTAGAGCAAACTAACTAAATATGGTAGAATGAGCGACGAATTGCGACGGGACGTGCGATTAACTAAGGGGAGATGTGCGGTTAACTACAACGGGACTTGCGTTTAACTACGGGGGATGTTCGGCGAGCTACGGATGGAAATGTGATTACCGATGGAAATGCGGCGAATTTCAACGCAAGACGAGATAACGACTCTTCGACGCCTGTCGGATGAGCAACAATGGGAATTGGGCGCCTACAGTAGCCTTCTTTTTGCACCATGCTTTGTGCGAGTCCCATGTGAATAATGCATTACCTACCTTAGTGTTGGATGAGATTACTGCAACAAAGTGCAGAAAAAGTCGGGGAGGTGACCCAAAAATAGACGTATGAGTTTAGATAGTTTGATAAGTTGTTGACCGTGTGCGTTTTCAGCATGCCCTATACCTGCTTCCCGTTTACCTTGTTACAAAGTTAAGTAACAGTTAACTTGTT